TACACAGAAGCTACAGCAGCATTGCACAAAGGTATAGCACCGTTAGGTCATATTGAATCTTCAAATAATGTATAAAGCTGATAGCACCGTTAGGGCAAACAAAACATGCAGAACAGACCTTAGGTAGAAAACCTATACATGCCAAACGAACAAACTTCAGCAAAAATCTCTATGTTGTAAAATGCGCAGAATGTGTAGCACCGTTAGGGTATACCAAAACTTACAGGAGTAAGTACGTAGGTAGGAAAAATAAGAACATACGACAATGCATAAACTGCATACCTAAAATGTACAAAGGCACGATCACACATGCCAAGCACGTAGAAACACACAAAGCAAAGTGTATGCAAACACAAAGGCATAGTCAAGCACAAGCACACACGTACCTAACGGTGGTTGAATCGATTTGGTACCTGGGTGTCTGTTGAGCGGACATTTGAACAAGCATAGTGATAAGCTAGACGTAAGTTGGTATTAAGTTATGTATAAGCAGGCTCATGCAAGTCGTAACTAAGCTTGCGACTGCAGCCAACCTAAGCTAAGCATACACACAAGCATAGTACCTCAAGGCATAGGTAAACACATAGAACATGTTGGCAAGAGAACAAGCGAGTGGAACTTCAGCTATAAAAGAGCAGCGCATAGCACAGAATCGTTCAGTTTGGTGTCATAGCCGTCTAAGGTAAGTACCCACGGGCAATTTGACGAGTCGACCTTTACAAAGAATTATTTATTTTTTTTTTTACTTTACGGATAGGGGATGTGCTGGTTTAACTGTTAACTGCCATCCCTGAAGGACTTTTAGGACTACTAACCCTACGGATAGGGGATGTGCTGGTTTAGCTGTTAACCGCCATCCCTGAAGGACTGGGAGGGAACATCCTTTTTCTGTTTACATACGAATAACCAAACAGAGACGGACCGTCGGCCCAGGCAGCTATGACACTGGCAACGTTTCTGTTTCTCTGTAGCGCTTCGCGATAACCCAAAAGAAAAAAAAAATATAATAAGAAAAGAAGATAATCTCTCACCACGTGCAAGCCACACCAGAAGTCGGGTCACCTCGCTGGTTCCTTGCCATAGCCAGCTTCTACACATCGCTGTACTTCTCTCCAGTAAAAAGGAAATAATAAATAAAGGAATTTGTACACCATTCTCCCCTAAAGTCCGGATTATTTTTATTCTAAATTTTCCTGCAACGAACCTTGGAGTGGCTGAATTATACCCCGCCCAAGAAAACTCGTTACAATATATATTAATATATACTAATTATTTCTTGTTTCTACCACAACTTTCATAATTACTGAAAAAGTCAATTCCGCATATTAGTCTAATTTGCCTTAGATGCTTGTTTTCTAGAAAAAGTGCTCTTTCAGCTTATAAGCCCCCTCCTTTTTTTGGTATAACGGAAAAGTGAAAGGGCATTGTATCTTCCTCTAACAGCGTAGAGGAGTAAGCCTAACGGAAATAACGTTCCAGCCTTGCCAACAAGCTCAAGTTCAATACCAGTTATAAATAATCGAATAAATAAACAGATCAAATTACACTTTACGGATATTTACTATCCGAATTATGTTTGTTGTCTACTTCAACGAATACGATTATTTTCAATTTGTGGAAATCAAACCCCATATTGAAAATTTCTATGAAACAGAAATTATTAATTTTTGCTTTCCGGTCGTGTGCAAAAAATAAATAACATTTTTCACAGCAGTGACGATGACTAATAAAATACAATCAATTAAATTAATTGATGTGATTTACATCAAATAACTTTAGTTATTGTACGTATGTGGATTTTGGAAGAGAAATTTAAAGCATTTTAAACACCAATTGTGTCGGAAGAACACTTGATATTTTCTTAAGCTATTATGCCTGTGAAAGAGCTGAACATTTTTGTTCGTTACAAATTTTTAATATTCTGCTGAACATAAATTTTTCGCTGTTTGAATTCAGTTCAGTATGAGCTCTTTTGCTGGGATTTTTATATTTTACAATTTTCTTTGTTATTTTGTCTTTAATCCGCTGCTCTATAGAAACACAACCCGTAAACACTTTATACATTGAATCTAGTTTATTCTCAGCTCTCACAGTTGCACGCTAATATAAAATGACTCATCCAAATCCACCTCGATTCACAGTCATCTGAGAGTAACTTAACTGAGCGGGCCTGAAGTCCAGCTCGATTCACTGCCATCTGAGAGTGATTTAAATGAGCTAGTCTGAAACCACTTGGTGGATTTCGAATTCGTTATACCTCCCATTGATTTGTAAACAATTTCATCTGTTTTTCAATCGAATTCGCTATACCTCCCATTGATTTGTAAACAATTTCATCTATTTTTCAATCGAATTCGCTATACCTCCCATTGATTTGATAAAGTGAGAGTAATTAAGTGAGCAACTTGACTTGTTAGATTATAATCAATTCAATTTCTTCTTTTTCAATAGATTTTATTAAATAATTACAGTAATTTTGTATGGGATAATAATACAACATATTTGCGGTTCACAATTCATTTTTGGTATAATCATAATGTTACGTGTGTGAATCAATAAATGAATGCAAAATTAGCATGTTTATGCCTATAGGTTTGTTTTTAGAAGGAGCAATCGGAGACTTTAAGGAGGTGATATTGACATCGTTAGTCAAGTCTTTTACGGATGAATTATTCTTATCAGTGCTGATCCTTTAGAGATTTTCGTTCTGGTTTGCGATTTTTCTTTTAAATGAACCCTTGCTATGCGTGGTTCGAACAAAATTTTCGAAATCATCATCGTTTGATAACATGCTTGAGAGCCGCAACTTCACTATATACGTTTTCCACTAGTTCAATAGTTTTCAGAACCAAAAGTTTGTGAAAGAGAAAGAGGAAATTTTTCTTTCTTTGTATTTTTTTTTTTTGAAACTTTTTTCAAAAATTTTCTGCACGAAAAAAAGAAACGTCTTGTTTCATGCAGGGTTGCCGTTTTTTTTTGGAGGAGAATAAATATTTTCAATATTTACATTCTAACAAGTGGTCGCTCATTCACTTCTCTTTTAATTTGCTAGAATTCGAAGATAGATTGTTTACTTCTCCTTTAATTTGCCAGAATTCAAAAACATTCTTGGAAATTGTTGAACATGTTTAGCTTGCACGGTGTCCGTATTGCCTATTAATGCCATGCCATATACGTTCAAAACTTTGCCACTTGCTGGTTTACTAGTAGGTTTGAAGATAGGTTGGATACATAAAGGCCCTTATTTTACAGAAACATTGACAACAACAAAATACACTGGCCCTCGACTTTGCATAAACAAAAACACATATTTTTTGTTTGAAACTAAATTGTTCATGTTTTGCACTAATATTAGTTTTTCTTTTTTGTTTTGTAAATGATAAAACCAGGGAAGCTTGATGTGCAGATTTTGTGCTGATTTAAGCGATTTAGGGCTGAGGCAGCCCAAAGTCCGCAGATTCGTGATATACAAAGTTTTTATTTGATATTAGGTAGTTTGGGACCTTCTTCTAAGCGGGCTCCAGAAAAACAAAGTGTAATTGCTTCCTCGGACAATTTTGTTCATCGTATGGTTGTTTTACGTAATGAATATCGTCTCAAGTATAATTGTCCACCTTTAGAATTGGATAAAAATTTGACCATATTTTATGGATTGCAAACGCAAGTGCAGTTTTTTTGTTTTTTGATATTTTGGTATTACAATTACAATTGATTTGAGTGTATTATGAGCAGCATTTGGCTAATACCGGCACTTCAATGCATCGAAACCCTCAAATTTTAGAAACATACTTTTGTACATTTAATTAAAGAAACCACGGTTCGTGATTTTGCAATTACCATATTGAAAGTGGCCATATTTCATACTATCTGCTCCATTAATCAAAGATCCTGATTAAATCTTTTTATTTTTTTCTACCTTTAAGTGCATGTACGCTGATTCAGGCGACGGATGCCCGAGATTCCTTTCAAAGTCGGTATAAACTTTTCATGACCTAAAAATAGATTCGGCAGTTATCTTTTTTTTTATGCATTCATTATCACTATTACATATTCGAGAATCTTAATCATAAGTTCGTATATTAAATTAAGCTATAACAATGCAAATATTTGCGTGGACTTTCAAAGATACATTCGAAGGGTACTTAAAGCGAAAATTATAGAAACAAATCTATAACGCTATCATTAAAATCTCTAATTTGAAATTGTAGACAAATTCTTAAATTAAAGAACCTGCCCTGTGACTGCCTAAACTTTCCTTTTGTTAGATGAATCTCGCATTCGGAGTAACTAACCCTAAGGACATTATAAAATCCCCTGCAGAACGTAATAACAATTAGTTTATTGAAACCACTAAACTTAATTGTTTTATACATTAAAAAAAGAAGCATAAATGCTCGTATGGAGTAAAAACATTATATTTCGTAATTTCGTCTCAACAAAACTGCTAACTAGCTAAGCTACGCGCTATTAATTCTGCCAACTTAGAAATCTTAGAAGAGGGATGAACCATTTCGTCAGACTCAAAGTGCAGATTGAAAAAACCGTATTGATAGTCGAATATTAAAATTTTATACTTTTACCGTCCAAAGACCATTAAAAATTTAAAAACACTACTGGCAGAATTCAAAAAATTACATTTTGAATTATTTGGATCGTGCATCTATCAACACATTTCTCAACATACGCAGCGGTTTAGCTTGAAGCTTTTGACGAGACGACAATGAAATTTAGATTAGAAGTCGCGTTATATATAGATTTGCATTAACTTCCTGTTGATTTTAATGGAGCACACAGACTTTTTTATATTTATAGAATTAAAGTATTTCTTTAAAGCCTTTGCAGACGTCTCTAAAGAAGCGTTTCAGACAGGTTTACATCCAACCGAACATAAGGAGTTTTTTTCCAACAAACAATTAATTTTATGCTATCGTAAGTAAAGTGTAGCATTTTGTAAAAGGATTTGTCTAATACTAGATGCAGAAACTTGACTAAAGGCTCCAACCAGATTGCAAAGTTTTATTCATAAATAAATAACTTTTCTATGAGATGTACAATATCAATTCTTTTATAATAACGCTGATCAATTTCGCTCCAATTGTGCTTCTGATTCGCGCCAATTCCGCTTAACCATTTCTATAATCTGTATATAGAGCCGTGACTTTGAAAAATAATAAGAGGAACATGCAAATAGGAACACCCAAGCAAGTACTAACACGTAATCCGTTTGATGCTCCACGTTGACAAGCAAAGGTGTAAGTGCGAAATATTTAGGAAATTCTGTAGGTTTCAGACCCGTATGACGCGTAACAAATGTGTCAAATTTTACTTCGGCGCGATATTTTACTATAGGTCGTCCTTGATGAAATAGCATTAAAGTTGGCAAGCCGACAATTCCAAATTCCGCATTAAAGCTTGGAAATTTGTACGCATCTACAGCAGCAACTGGCAAGGTTTTGAACGCATGTGGCAAAGCATTAATCGGCAATGCGGACACTGTACAAGCTAAACATGTAGGCGTGTAGAAATAAACCAATACACAGCTGCCAGTTTCATACCGTTTTGTATTGTTTCCAATGGGTTTAAGTAAATCTACAATTTCTTGTACGCTATTCATCATACGTAGTTTATTTAAACCTTTTTCTACGAGCGGATGTTCATTCAAACACTTAACCATTATCGGAGGCTTACGGGAACCAGCTGATGTTACTGCTGGTAGTAAATGTAGAATAAATTCATCATCGGCATAACATATTTCAGAACTTTCTAAAAATATAAGTGTCGTAAAATCGCGTTGACATGACCCTCTTGATATGCCTAACTCATCCAGTGTCATTTCTTCTGCTCTTTTAGATGTTTTATTCGCATTATTTTGACCATCTTTATTAATAATATCAAACAACAAATTATAAAAATTGGATCGACCAGCACATGAAGCTTTTAAGCATAGCGCTGCAGGTAGTTAAAAAAATTTGTTAGCAAATTTAAATATATGTTATCGCAATGTATTCACCAGTTAACAATAACAACAACGGGATTTTATTTATCATCACTAATAATATTGATAAGTTCTGTATTTTTGTCAAAAAAGTAATTTTGCATTTGTTTACAGTAATCTTCTTCTTCTTCTTCTACGACTTAGCAAATCAACTACAAATGACTTGCTGAGTTGAATTCACAATAGTACGATTGTGTACATGCGCTACTGATCGAATGTAAATTATGCAACGTAATGAGCGGTATGACTGAATGATGTGCATAATATTTTCAGTACTATGCCTTGTACAATCTGTATGGGATATGGTAAATTTAGTGCTCATCAAAGTCATGTTGGCGATCACGTAATTGAAAGTCAGCTTACGTTTTCG